TATTTTAATTAGCCTTGGTATAGTTCTCCATTTCTTTGTAATCAATAGTACAAAAATCCAATCCATGACCTAATACTATCTGCAGCCAACATTTACCATCTTCTGGCTCTTAATAACATTAAACCAAATTGTTTCTTTTCTTCTATTAAGTATTTTCTTTGTGTCTTTATCTTCTCCTTTAGGTTGCCAGGATCCCAGTAAGCAGTTAATATGAGTCATTTTTGTTGTGTCATTGATGATTAATTTATGGCATAGACTATCAGTAAATACCAGGTCATTCACAAGAAACTTTAAGATTAAATTTCAGATCACAGTCCCAGATTGGCTGGGCATGGTGGTGCATGCCTGTAATCCTAGCACTTGGGAGGCTGAGGCAGGAGGTTCACTGCAACTTCGAGGCCAGCCTGGGCTACTTAGTGAGTCCAAGCCAGCCTGAACTACTTGGGGAGACCTGGTGTTGAACAAAACAAAACAAAACACCCTAAACAAACACACAAAAATCATAGTATAAAAAGAGTCAACAGGGAGGAAGACCAACTAACTGTGCAGCCACCTTAGCTACTGAATGATTGCTGATTGCTCCATCATGAATCACACTTGAAAACTCCAATCTGGATTACTTTTTGAGTTTTATTTCTTCCAAGAGATACTGTCAAACTCTAGAGAAGTAGGTGCCACTCCCAGTGGGTTCTCTCAGAATTATCTACTCATGAGCATATGAACTGTACTTTGTGGAAAGAATTTCTATAGTGCATTTGACTAATTCTCTTACAGGAAAGTGAAAAATCTTTATCTCCATCTTATGGAACAATCCAACTGACCTGGGGGTGATTTATATAACATCACAGAAACAGTTAATGCCAAGAAGGAATCCTGTCCCTCTTTCTAGAGCTATGATGTCTTCATTCATTCATTCATTCATTCAGCAGGTATTCGGTGTGCAACAGAGGCAAGGCTTGATGGTGGGTGTTAAGAACACATGAGAAGCCTTTGACGTGGAAAAAGATCATAGGCTTTGGGGTCAGACAGTCCTATGAGGAACTCTGACTGTCACCTTCTGGATAATGAAAAATTGGTCAAGTTACTTAATCTATATGTCTCTGTAAAGTAAAGGGAGAATAATATTGGCAACCTGTGAGGTTAATTTGCGGGGTATGGATGAAATGATGTATGTGAAGCCGGTGCAGAATAGGTGTTTTAAAAATGGTTCCTATTACCAAGGCTGGAAGGAGATGGTCCCTGGTCTCATGGAACTCTGTCTGGCTTGGAAGGCAGCAAGCGAAGACAAATATAATGAGATAACGCAAAGAGAGCGCTGAGGAAGCCCAGTTTCCTCCTAGTCAGGAAATCACAAGCAATAATGTGAACTTGGGTAAATGATTTACTCTCTTGAGTCACAGCTCTTCTATTAAAACGGATGGCTTAAATGATGATATTGAGCCTTGACTGAGCACACATACCTTAGCTCTCTGGAACTACACCAAAAAGGTGTGCCCTGCACTGTCACTCTATAAAAAATCTGTTCAGTTAAAAAATTGACTTCAGTACACACCCCTATTAATAACCTAGTAACATAAGCAAAACACAGCAGTGGCAACTGATATCACCTTCTTATTGTTGCATGATAGAAATTTTCAATGAGTATGTCACACAACTAACTAAGTTTCCTAACCAACCCTCCACAAGGCCCTTTTGTGTAAATATTATTGTTGTATTCTGTATGTTATGCTCATTTGATTGCAAATCCAGTTTGTATGTTGGTATTGCCATTTCAAAAAGTGATTTTTTTTTCCTAATGCAGAACTCAAGGGAAATAATACCATGGATATTGGAGGTACAAATTTGAATAAAATACTACAAATTTGTTCCTAAGTAATAATTTTCTTTTCTTTTCATTAGTATATATTGATAATGTTCTCATTCCTTGTGTGGAGTTGGTACATGTATGTGACACACCTTAATTCCTTTTTTATCCCCTCTCCGTCCCTCCCTCCCAGCTCCATCTCTTGATCATCTTTGAGAAAGATCTGCCTCCGTACCTTTTATTACTTACCTTTTATTTTGCTCTTTATTTATATTTTAGGTTTCTCATATAAGAGAAACTATGTGATATTTAAGCTTGTGTGTCTGATTTATTTCATTTAATATCATGGTCTCGAAGTGCTTCCAGTTTCCTATAAATGACTCGAGTTTAAGTAATTTCTAACAACAATGATAAAGAATACATTTCAAGGACAGATATTATTCTAAAATGAAGATGGATACTTTATCTCTTCCAAAATGCAAATATTTCTAACTTTCCTGTAGAAAAAGCTATAAAATGCAATTGTGGAATTAAGAGGATTGAGAAGGAATAAACAAATTGCAACCAGTTGGCCATAAAGATAATATTCTCTGTTCTCTTTTTCTAAATATTCCCCCTTCCCTGCAATACACTCACATCCCCAGATACCTCTTTTACTTCTCTTACTCTTTTCCTCTTTCTTCTCTTATTGTCCCATTATCTACTCTTTGATACACACACACACACACACACACACACACACACACACACACACACACATTTCTAGACAGGACACTTAAGAGGGCAACTGCCATTTATGCCACCAAATCATAATGGGGTTTGAACTCTTTATTGAGTATCCAGATCAACCACTTGTTTCTATACTAACCTGGAGAACATCTAGCAATTAGCTGGACATGTCCATAATATTTTCTTTTTATCACTGAAATACACATTTAGAGCATATCTAATTCTAAACTTGAAACTGCTGCTTTATGCTAAAACACATTTCCCAAACTGTGTTCCATGGAATATTAGTGTGCTCGGAGATGTTAAGAGCTACTCTAGGGTTTTAAAATTCTGTGGTTGGGACCCCATGGGAAAATACAAGTTGGCAGTTTAAAGATTCTAAGAATTCTTGTACTGAGGAAACTTATTTAACTCTCTTTGTGCCAGAAAATCATAAAACATTTTGATGCTAGAACTATTATTAATCGAATAGTCCAGGGAATACACTTTGGGAAACAATGATCTAATGTTTCCTGAACTTATGGGACTGCTGGGAAAAGTAAAGTTGAATGGTTAAGTGTAGCTCGTTTTGCTTTACTCCCTTTATAAATGAGACTAATAGGCATTGTTGGAGGTTTCCATTGCAAAATAAAGTGGAAGGGTGAGAATTAATCTCTTAATTCTGGTAAAGACTGCATTGTTATGGAACAATCTTTTGAGAGGGTATTTAAATTATTTTTTTAAATCATTCAGTTCTTTCTCTGAAGACAAAAGTTGACCAACTTAGTCTGAAATTTTAATCCAAGAGGTTTAAAAATTCACTGACTCAAAGGGTCACTCAAATTATGTTATAATTTCATCATTTTTAAAAGTAGACAATGAATGAATTTCATATGCAATTAGCAATGATACTGGCACTGCGCATTACTGCAAGACGTTTGCAGGGAACTAAATCTATACTAGAACAGTTGCCAGCCTACTGACTCAGAAAACAAATATGTTACTGTGTACTGTGTTGTCTGCAGTCCCGAGGCATTCGAAGGCTCATCTTGAATTCTGAGAATACAAAATACAACACGCTATACTTGAAAGAAAAATAGTAATATAAGTAGCTCAGAGTGAAATGTTTCTTAGACCTGAAGCAAAGAGTTCCTGATAAAGAATGTAGAAAACCAAAACGTCAGCACTGGCAGGACATTGGTGTGGGCTATGGGAGCCTAGACTTTGCTTGTTGAATCCTGCACGCAGTCTCATGAGTAGAAGACTAGGTGTCTTCTGTAGTTTTCCTACTTGGGGACAATGCTCTGGGCTTATCTCCGTTTTTAGAGGGATCATGTTGCTTGATGTGAACCCTGATGGTGGTATTCTAAGCTTCCTATTTTAGGTTCCCTGAGTCAGTTGGCCTCAGCTTCTGACAAACTTGAGACTCTGACAGAGCCATGTTTCTTATAGGCCAGGCTGAGGACCTGCTTATGATTTGTGGTCAGTTCACTCCCTTTGGTGGAGTGCCACACAAGAAACACCAAGAATGATTAACTGAGGGCTTTCCTTTCCTTAGCGTTAATGGTTACCAAAGTAATTCAGTGAATTCTGCTGTTAACACTGCCAGAAGGCTACTTCATGGAGTGTGTCTTGAAGTTTGACAGATCTGAGTTGTAGTGGAAGCTTTGCCATGGGTGACTGCGTTTAAGTCAATTAACTTCTCCAAACTGCAGTTTCCCATCTGTAAAATATAAACTTCCATTACAGTATTGGAAGGAGGTTACATGGATGGATGATGATGTATGTAAAACATGTGGGCCCAGCCTGGATGAAACGGCAGTGGGGTGCTATTTAAGGGGGAAATGAGAGAGA